GTACGCTGATGATACCCGGACTGCATACGAAATCCTTCAAGGCTACAACTTTCCGGTGGGGCTGCTTCCCAAGGGCATCGTCAAATACGATTTGGACCCATCTACGGGCAAATTCCATGCCTACTGGAATGCTTCCTGCGCCTTCTCACTCGAGGGCTCCTACCAACTCAAGTACCAATCCACGATCAGCGGTTACATCTCCGACAAAAAACTTACTGGGCTTACTGGGGTAAGCGTCAAAGTGTTCTTCTTTTGGTTGAATATTGTGGAGGTTGATAGGAGTGGAGATGAGCTCGAGTTCTCTGTGGGGATTGCCTCTGCAGCCTTCCCGATTGATAGTTTCTACGAGTCCCCACAGTGTGGGTGTGGATTTGATTGCGTTACTGCCCAAGTAAGCAAACTTAGAACGAAATCTTTTGTGTCTTCAATTTAGAGGAATTATTTGGAATATTGTTTCAGTAGATGTTGTTAATGTAAATTGAGGATTACATGGTGGATCTTTATTGGTTCTGGATTGGTTCGGATTGAATTTCTCAGTCTATCTGTTGTTTGTTCTGGTTCAATGATTTGGTGCTTGATAAGGTATCTCAAGCTATGGATTAGCAGGGGACATTAAATAAAAATGCAGTCTTTTTTATGGTATGCAGTGGACATGTTGTCATGTTCTTGAAAATTGAAATGACTTGGGTGAGATTGAGGAATGATAGTCAGATTGGACATGTTAAGCAGTTTTCAGTTGGTTCAAATGCCACTGAGTCAGCTTAATTTTGAGGGTATTAGTTGATTGAGTGATGATAATTTGATTGGTAATTAGCATATAGAACTTTTCTTCTATGGGATTGTGGCACCACTGAACATGTGCTTGTTTACGTGTGCAACTTTTATGATATATGGGGGATGCAACCTCAGAATTCTATTTGGTTGCTTGCTTGCTTGCATTTTCTTTGGTCATCTGGTGAAGTGCTATGTATGATCAATAAAAGTGATTAAAACCGTTTAATGTCAGCCTCAAACTATTGTTATTTACAGTAATTGAAGGAATTCTATTCAACCCATGCCTATAAAACTGTTTAATGTCAGCCTCAAACTATTGTTATTTACAGTAATTGAAGGAGTTCTATTCAACCCATGCTTACTTTGGCATCCATGAGGGTATCTTTAAAGTGGAGTGAGGTTTACAGTTAGGCATGTGCAGAAGTTTCATCTGACTTTCTTTTCTTGCCTACAACTGGGATAAGCATGCCTTATATGTTTCTGTAACTTTTACCCCTGGAATGATGGTTGAAACTTGAAATCTTTTTCTAATTAAATATTTTATTAGGATTTAGGACTGGTTGTTAGTCTGGAGGTAGCAGATCCAGTAATTTTGAAACAATCTTGAAAATCAGGAATCTTTATGATGTTATTTCTTTTGTTAAATCGGTCTGTAAGAAAATTTCAAATGGATTAGGAATATAGGATTCTACTTCATAAGGAGTTAGACTTGATGATCTTCTTATCTCTCTCTTTTTTATATTTTTGAGTTGTAAGGTCTCTCTCTGATATATTACATTAGGATAGTTGGATGTAGGAATTGATACCGGAGGTAAAAAACCAGGATGCAATACGCATAACAACCTCAAGCAGGCCTTTTATTGATTTCAGATTGTTTGCATTGAGTTCATTTTGACAGCTAACCTGTTCTTTACTCGATAGAGTAGCTGGAATGACATTGAGACTGGTTTTGATCATTTCGTCATACACCAAAAGTTCCCACTCCTTATGCCTGACATATTAATTACATTCTTACTTAGGAACAGAGATGATTATATTGATCATCATCTAGTTTTATCTGTGGCCCGTGGAAGTAACTGTTTTTAGTAACTGAGAAGGGAGTATAAAGTTTGTAGTAATTTCCAGTTAAGACTATATGATTATTTCAAGAACTCCATGGGAGTAAGTTTTAAGATTTGTGAGGAAGCTTGTCAAATTTCATTACTTGAGGGTAAAAAAACATGCACAATGTAGTTGCTTCGTTTTGGTTGTATTTTTTTGGGACAACAGCATCTTCCTGAGCCACTTTTCCAGTTTTCCTTGTGGCCCTGTTTGTGACATAAGAAACATACAGGCAACATATTCCATGTCAAAGGTAATGATAATGCAATGGCCACAAGCGGATCTTTCCACCGAAATTAACTTTTTCCTTTTTGACATTGGAGATGGTGTGTGTATGTATCAACTCAGAAATGGCTCACTTTTATCATAATAGCGCAGTTGGAATATATGTTGATAATGCTAGTTTGTTTCTTGTGCAAGTTATGCCAGCAATTGTGTTTCCTGGACTTACTTGTTTTGTCAGATCAATCTCATCTCCTCCCTTTTTCACATCATCTTTCTTTCTCGCCTTTACATTCTCTAATTTCGTTGTCCCAATGATGAAATATGTCTTTTGTTGTATCCTGTGGATCTATTCATATTCAATTCCATCTGAAATTGAGTTCCATTCTTTTTAATGAGAAGTATATAATTGAAAAAGAAAAAAAAAAAAAAAAAAAAAAAA